GATTTAGGATTTAAATTGGGGCAATTTGAGTGAGCTATGGGGTTCAATTTGGTGGGGTTAAGTCATATGGTCAAAATTGGGGGTTTGACTTGGATCAAAATTGAGCTCAAAACATGGGTCAATTAGACTTAGATTTGGTTAGGATTTATCATATGCAAGATGAATTTGAGTTTAGAATTGAAATTGGGGAGTATTGGTGCCAAATTGATGGACATTTGAGGTGAATTTAGGGAAATTGGGCCTTTAAAGGCAATTTGGTGGTTTTGGTCAAATTGGGTTCAATTGAAGGCTTTAAATTAGTTTTGGAGACATTTGGAGTGACTTTGGATGTTTTGGGAAAATTTGGGCTACCAAGGATATTTTTGTAAATTTGGCAAATTTGAGGGTATTTTGGTAATTTTGGAATTTTTGGGATGTTTTGGGAAATTTGGGTAGTTTCAAATGTTTTTAGATGATTTTTGAATAATTTTGGGTATTTTGGATGAATTTGGGAATTTTGGCCAAATTTAAGGTTTCAAGGGCATTTAGGTAATTTAGGTGGATTTAGGGGCAAAAGGCCAAGTTTGATATTTTGGTAGAATTGGGGTGCCAACCACCATATATGAGTTGTGGACCAATGAAATCCCCATTTGGGTCCTCTATATACTGGTCTTAGCTAAACCCTAGCCTAGGGCTAGTAGGTCTAGGGGACCATCTACATGAGTCTCCCAAAAGATCAAGGGATCAAAGTCAACAATTTTAGGTTTAAGGTTGCAAGTGAATATAGGTGGTAATGAGTGTAAGTGAGTTAACTAGCTCCAGACCAACACTCAGGGACCAACCTTAAGGCCAAGCAGTCTTATGGGGACTCTTCTTGAGATCCCCCATACCGACCTACCTACTAAGTGCTAGAGGTTAGGACCAACATGTGGAACATCAAGTTGAGCAAAGAAGAGTTTAGAGTTTCTAAAGGTGAGAGTTCCTTTTCTAGTTTTTTTAGGAATAGTCATCAGGAAAACCCTATGGCTAGACTCTAGGATACTAAAAAGGGAAAACTAAACCTCAACCAAAAGTGAGGTCAACAACTGGTTATTCCAGCTTCCTATAAGATTTACTTGATTATTTCCTCATTGTTGGTTGTCACCTCCAAAATTATTATCCCAGTTAAAGTTAGGGTGGTTCTTCCAACCTGAGTTATAAAAAGTTGGAACAAGGGTTGTTAGGTCTGTAGTTAATTGCATTTAAAGACTCAAATGATAAAGTGTTAGAATCAACCATCTGCCCTAATGAATTTTTCTCAATTACTGGTGTAATTTGAAGTTAATTCATTCCAAATTGATTTAACTTCCTATATATTGTCGCAAATTGAGAAGTGAGAATTGAAATCACGTTTGTATCATGAACATTAGCTACCTTTCTAGAATTTACCCTTTCAGAAGGTCATTGACAATTATTTGTAGTCATCTCTTCAATTAAGGAGTAAACTTCATCAAATGTCTTTGGCATGAGTGAGCCGTCAACAACAACGTCAATGATAGATCTAAGGGATCCTACTAACCCATTGTAAGAAATTTTAATGATTAACCAATTGGACAGAGTATGATGTAGACACTTCCTAAGAAGTTCCTTAAATCTTTCCCATGCTATGTATATTGATTCGCCTTCATACTGGCAAAATGAAGTAATATCATCTCAAAGTTTAACATTTTTTGAAAGTAGAAAATACTTAGCTAGGAATTTCTGAGCTAAGTCACCCCATGTTCCGATAGATCCAAGTGCTAATGAATTGAACCACGTTTTAGTTTTATCCCTTAAGAAAAAGGGAGAAAAGCCGAAGTCTAAAATGCGTCATTGGGCACACCGTTATAACGAAATGTATCACATAGTTCTAGAAAACTTACTAAGTGTAAATTTAGATCCTTAGAGGGAGTCCCCCAAAATTGGTTATTCTGCACCATTTGGATAATAGTAGGTTTCAACTCAAATGTGTTAGCTTCTATGATAGAAGTTTGTATTCTTGGGTGAATTTTGTCCGTTGTAGGATTAGTGTAATCCCATAATAGTCTAAGTGTGTTATGATGTTTATTTTCAAATGTTTGATTATCTAAGTTGTTCTATTAATTATTCGTCATTTCTTCTACAAATTGGTGAAGTCATTTTTGTTTTCTAATCCTTCTATTTGTTTTTTCTAATTCAAAATCATAGGGCATAAGTCCTGAAGATCTTGAACTACGCATACACAAGTAAAAGCTCAATAAGTATATTTAAAAAAAACATACAAAACAAACATTCAAATATATAAATTATTTTTTTAATTATTTTTTTAAATTTTAACACACAAACAAACAATTAAACAAAGAAACTATAATACAATTTTCCAAATCTAAGTTTAATTGGTGCAATTAAAATTTTTCCAAGTCGCATTAACCATCGCACTTCTCCAGCAACGACACCAAAAACTTGACCGACCTTCGGTATACCCAGTGATTTAGGGATAAAATATTATAATTCTAAAATATATTTTGTAAATTTTATAACTAGAGTTTTTCATGGTTTATTACTACACACTAGGTATTTTACGCAGATACACGTATCATTCAAGTAACATAGGACTTTTTTTAGTTCAGCGTATCGATCCTACAAGGAAGACTGTTAAATTTTAAAGACTTCAGAAAAGTTCTAATTGAATAAAAAGAGTCTTAGCTTGGAAATAAATTCTATTTAGGTCGTGCTAGTGAATTCTACCAAATTACCACTAATCTTATAAATTTACTATAAAGTTAATTTTACTAAGGTTAAAGAAGTTAAGAGAAATCAAGCAATGAAAAAGATTAATTTGTGTAGAAATGAAAATATGAGCATTCATTTTTTTTACCCTTTTCTAAGTGCATAAATAAATTAGGTTTAGCTAGGTAAGTGTTTCTGTCTGTTACTCTAAAAACCTCCAAGTTACCCCCATTAAATTTATCTCCCTGTTTATTTGCATCGATCTACGAATTACTTTTCCTTCACCCTATATATCAATGAGGTTTTTACTAGTTGTTAACCCAACCACCCTCCCGAATCTGAATGGAATCACAACAAATTTTAACACACTAATTGACCAGATTGATATGTAAATGAATCATGCAGTAAAAAATCATCACAATCATGAATAAAAATTCATTCTAAATGTAATCACATACCTACACATATTATTATTTCATCATTAGAGGAAGGAGTAAGGGATTTACTCACTAAGCACGAAAGAACCACAATACTTCATCATTTTATAATAAAACGAAGTCATACAAGATAATTTTATACTAATACAAAACAATATGAAATTAAAGACTTATCTTTCTCCCTAAGAATTGGAGAGTGAACCCCTCCCCAGGTGATCTCTAGCCCTCCTTGCACTGCTAACAACAAACCTTTACAATTTCACTCAGATATCTCAAAGGATATGCAGAAAAATGAAAAGCCTACATTTATCCTCCCCTTTCCTTGCACTTCTTTCTTTCTTCTTGACTTCTACAAAATGTTCTCTTATTTTTTTAACTGCCTCCCCTGGAATTAACCTCCAAATTATGTGTAAAACTGCTTCGAAAACTATCCAGAACAGTTTTGGCGCCTAGGCGTCACCTTATATGTCTGCGATAACATGTCTGGTGCTATGCACCAATATGTGGCGCCATGGTGTCACTTGCTCTAGTTTCTGGACGTAGTCTAGCGCCTAAGCACCCATATACAGTGCCATGATATTATTAAATGATGCCTAAGCGCCAGAAGCTGACGCCTAGGCTCAAGTTCACTATTTGCTCCATTGCTCCATTCACCTCATTTTCACTTCGTTTCCACTCCAATTTGCTCCAAATTTCCTACCTTTTATACTTGCAACAAAAAATATAGGAATATCTTACTTTAAAGTGCAGTTTCATAAAAATATAAATATTAAATATAAATAAAAATTTAGCATGCTGCTAGACATGTCAGCGAGCAGTGCGAAACCCACACTATCAGGGTAGTGTGTGTCTTGCACTGTTCAAGGGTAGGAGTGATCCTTATGGCGTTTAGGGCGGTTACCCTTTACGGGTGATGAGATAATACCGGTCTTGGTAGTTGCACCCTTTCTAGGGAGAGTACGCTTTTGATTGCCTCCATCATTTACTCATTGAGTTACAAAGTCACAGATGCAACTCATGTTGTTGTGAGCTTTCTGTGGTTGGAGATCTTCTCCTTGAGTCGCTCCTTTTTTTGTATTCTACGCTTAATGCACCTTTGTGTTCAACCTAGATTTATTTGTGAATCACAAAAAGTATAAAACATAAATAAGGGGAGGAAGGGAAGAAGAAGAAGAGAGAGAGAGAGACTTAAGAGTACATTTCTCCAAAAAGTCCTTTCACCTTTTTTAATGTTCTTCAATTTATAAAAAATCAGAGCCATTTGTGAAATTTCAATAATATCATCAATATTTTTTTATTGCTAGTTGGCCCCCATACTAGCCTCCATTGCAATAGCCATTGGGTATAATTGAGTCGTTACTTGATGAATCTCGGTGTCTCCCGCTTCTATGTTGCGAGACGATTGATGTTGCAAACCATTTGTCCTCCCCTTGGTCGACCATTCTTGATTCAGAAGATCTATTTGTTTAGTTCCTACCGACCTAATGGATCTTTAGGCTCATCGAAGTTGACCCCTTAGGGCATGTTCGATCGTGGCTCATTTGACTTGTTCCAACTTATTTTTATTAATCACACAATATGTAATTTCTTATTTTCCATTTTCCTCTTATTACTAGCAAAGGACGAAGTTTTGCCTCGTTCATTCTCCTTTCACAGGTCGAGGCACCAGCACGCCTTTCTCTCTCCTCCCCGTATGGCATACGGCGATTCTCGCCCTTTTTCCTCTTTATCTCCACGTCACAAGCGCCAGCGGTCACTTTCCCTGAGCCCTAGTTCCGGTAACGAAAATGGGGAACCCAGCCGCAGCAAGCGTCGGTGGCACGACCTATCCGCTGAGGCCT